ACACAGCCACTTGCTTACTCTCCTCAGGTGGGTTGGGGGACAGAATTGTGTAGAGATAAGGACAGTTTGCTAGATGAAGCCAAAGCTGCATGCACAAACAAAGCAAAATGAGGAATTCTTTCATGTTGTCCCATCTGCAGGCAGATGTTCAGCCACTTCCAAGAAAAGCAGGGCTCATCACATGTAACAGTTTCTTGAGAAGACAAATGCCATCTCTCTGAACATCCCCTACTCCACCTTCTTTCCCCCAGCTTTTATTGCTGAGCATGACACCATGTGGTATGGAATATCCCTTTGGTCAGCCTGGGCCTGCTGTCCTGGCTGTGTCCCCTCCCAGCTCCTGGTGCACCCCCAACCTCCTTGCTGGCAGGGCACCACAAGAAGATGAACAGTCCTTGGCCCTCAGTAAGCATTGCTCTGCAGCAACTAAACATCAGGGTGTTATCAACACTGTTGTCATCACAAATCCAAAACCATGAATCCAAGCACCATACCATCTATTAGGCAGAAAATTAACTCTATGCCAGCTTAAGCCATTGACTTTGCTAAAGTGTCATAACAAATAATTAGTACTGCCCTTGTTAGTAGCTTTTAATTAATTAGTCCTCATAAGCTTTGTGTACAAACTGAATAGAGATCCAGTGCTAGCCTAATTGCAAAGAACTATTAGGAAAAGACCAAACAGTCTGGGGTGATGAATGCAACCAGTATTACAACATGCTCCCTTACTCAAAAAATTTGGTACTTTCAGGCTCCCTGGGGAGAATGGCTCGTGAATATTCTTATTATTGGGTTTGTATTAATACTATATTACCAGAATTTCTATGTATTCTATATTAATAACATCTATCTGCTATTCTTTAATACTTGTTATAAAGTCCAAAATGTAGTTATTGACACAGATTTTTCTTCACAGTCACTGTGTACCCACCCTGTACCCACCTAGCTTACAAAACGAGGAGCCAAAGGAAAAGAGGAAGGACAAAAGAAACAGATTATAAACAAGAAGCAGAAACTTGATTTCAGTCATCTAATTAGTGGTACATGTGGAAAGAACTAAACACAAACACTTTCATAGCGGAAGACAGCTATGGTTGTGTCATGCCATAGCTTTTGCTCAGTGCCAGCATATTAGCTGAAACCAAAATTGTTTCACCATCAAAACGGACAGATTTAAAGCCTATGAGGCACAGCTTCAATGCAGTTCCCGTATATAAACAAAGCTTACCTGTTACAGAGCCCTCCCTGTGGCATCCCTGTCATTCACTGTAGTACATCAATCAGGACACACCTATTTTTTTCTCAGTAGGCTTTTAGTCATCGTCAGTATTCATAACACATAACACTAACAGATGTTTTTGCTTCTTTCCTTTCCTTTCCTTTCCACATGTCTTTCAAACACAAACATTAGCTCAGACCTTCTAAGAGTAGCCTTGCAATTCTCTCTTATCTTACCGCAAGGAGACCAATTCATTACAGCACAACAGCTTCTCCTAAATCCTATCCTTGTCTTACAACATTCTGCAGAAATTAAAACAGTCTCCAACTTCCTTATTGTCAAGGCGTCCAAGTGTCCCACTGCCACACTGCTATACTTGTTTTTTCTTTCTTCCTATTCCCCAATGCTACATAAACTTCCCTTCAGGGCAAGCTCCTTGGGACTTTTGGTCTGTAGGTCCCTTGGGGCTTTCAAAATGCTTCACTTGAGCATTCAGAACGTAGAGTTCATCTCAGCACAGGCTCCAACTGTGGTCAGCGAGAGTCACAGGGAGGTCACCCTCTGCTTGAAAATGAGACAAGCTGCACTCCTGTCACCAGGCACAGAGCTAGGTGACTGGTTCAGCCATAGACATTTCTCTGTGCTGTGGATGTCTACAATGGAGGAGATTAATCCTGTCCGCAGACCCTTCTGAACAGCCTGCAGCATCTATAATGCATTTTATGTATTTTTTAATTCACTTATTTATTATATTGGGTCATGATACAGAAGAGAAGACAATTTCTCTCAGCGGTTGCATGATGTTTTGAACTAATAATTTTTTGTTGCTTCCCAAAATACCTGCAGTAGCTGTGTTTATTCTTCACTAAAACTTTCCTTTGCTTGGAGAGCCAGCATACTCCGCAGCCAAAAGACAGTAAACAATAATGTGGAATACACAAGTAGTTTATGAGTTGGTTTTCTGTCAGCGAAATCCTTAAAAATGAATTGGCAAATGTAGACAGTGGTGTTAAACAATCCCAGCTCACACTAGCATTATGCTTTCTCCTCTAGAGACATTCATTCTGTGTGTTTTTATTGGTATAAAACTCAACTGGACCGCAGGTTTTGAATGGCACTATGGAGACATTCATTCTGTGTGTTTTCATTGGTATAAAACTCCTTTGGACCACAGCTATTGAATGGCACTTTGGAGATGGAATTAAAAAATAATAATAATAAAAAAAAAAAAAAGAAGAAGAAGAAGAAGAAAAACCCACAGTATTGTTGTTTTCAATAGGCACAGAGCCACAGAGAGCTCTTTTGTTGAATTTCATTAAAATTTCTTCATTTTTCCATACTTAAGGACTACCATAGTAAGTGAGTAAAAATAAAAATATTTTGTGTACCCTTTTGCCCAAGTAGTTGCTTCTGTTCCCATGGTCCTTGCTTTCCTGTGCTAGCTGCTGACTTGGGATATGGAAGCTAGAGTGAAATACTGCTGATGTATTCATTGAATTATTGGGCTACAGATTATATTTTGCCTGGGTTTTGGTAATCATAACCAGTTTTCCGCCCACAATAAATACAACAACAGATGTCACATTGAAATGCTGTGCTCCAGAATAGGTTAAGTTTGTTTTGAAATATTTTGAAATCACATTCACTCTTTCTCTGGATTTCCATGTGTTCCCTATGTCCTTGCCTTTTCTCTGGATTGCATGTGATTTCTCTGTCTGAAGAGGTGGATACACAGCTGGACTCAGAACTTCCATTTTGATGTGAGATGAAGTAAAGCAGGGACAGGAGCACAAAAGATGCAAGATGTGCTTAGTCTGCACTAGTCTGCACAGAGTGGTTCCAAAGAGTGTTTATCAATACGTGATAGGCGCTTTATATAAATAAATATAAATATATATATATAAAAAACTAGCATTTTTTATAATGAAACCATAAAGCCTATTCAGCAAGGAGATTAGGGGATCAAGGTTACCTAATACTACATCTTACGGTTCCTACCAGGACCATCCTCCAGACCAGCTTCCCAGCCTGTGGAGACCATAACTATGTTAAGTGTGGCACCTTATGTCCTCCACTTATGTCCAGAGTTCATAAAGACCTGCAAGACCAAGTATGCACCTTCAGATACTGCTAGATAAACTCAGGGGGGTTATCCAGAATGATCGAATGATGGACAAACAAACTGAGAGAATGTGCTGTGCTCATTGCCTTTCATAATACCTCTCTTTCAGAAAGAAGAATTAAGGTTAAACTTAAGAACATATACTAAATATTTTCTTCTTCTTTTCATGGTATCAAGACAGTTTACTCCCCACAGAGAATTTAAGTACCAGGTTCCTATATTGTACAAGCTTTAGAAACAAAAGAGGACATATATCCCACATGCATCTCAAGCTCAAGTAATTCATACTGACACCATCTAAAAATATTTCAAATAATTTGACTTGCCCCCAGTATATCTGGAGATTTTATCATGAGATGTCAGGCACAATATATGGTGATAGTGTAAGAAGGCTGTTGCCATTCTTACTGTCTGCCAGCATCCTACATTTCCCCCTCAAACACTCAGACCTTTCTACTGAAAAGTGTGGCAATTAAATCAACACTGTAGGAAGTAACAGTTCAAGATTCAAATGCTTGAGTTCCCTTAATTATACAGCTTTCTGATTCTAGTGCCCTTTGCCTTTTTAACAGAGCTTACCATTCTGTGTATTATGATCATTATTTTCATAATATTACATCCTACTCATGTCGTGTCTCATTATGCAAAGCAGTGGTCAAACAGCTACAATGTACACCTTTGCCCACAACAGAATGTAAAACTAAAATGTGTTATGAAGAAGTATTTGTATAGGAGGACAAGGAGAACATTAGCAATGCATGAGGACTCCCCGTATGGTCTTCCAAGGGAAACAATGCAGTTTGTTCCCTTGTTCTGAGATAGCAGCCTCTTTATGTTTTGATGATTTTATTTATATAGAAAACATTACTGTCCTAGCCTGTGTCTTCAACCTTTGAAGTGCATTGGAATAGCCAGATTTGTGTAAAGAAGAGAAGAGGAAAATCAAACAAGACCTGCATGTACTAGGGAGAGTCCAAGACAGCCTTTTGAAAAAGATGCTATAATGCTATGTGAATGGTAAAAACTTTGCATCAGGACGGAGAAAGGAGTGGAAGTAAGGAGGATTTGGGGAAGGAAATCCAGCTAGTAAGCTAAAACCACCAACTTATATTTAAGCTGGTGGCCAGATTTCTGAGGATATGTTCAGAAGAAAGGCTGAAAAAAGTGAAGTGAAACACTATTATAAAGTAAAGTAAGGTAGTGCTTGCATGTAAAGAAAAGCTTCCTTGTAATCCCTTGCAAAAGAGCAACCAAGAGCTTTAAGAAGTTTATGGCAAACGTTAGAACTGGATTCCTAATAAAAATCAGTCATTCAAGTGTCATTGCGCTGCTGTGGTAGGGGAGTGAAGAGATACAAACAGTAGCCAGAGCTTTGACTCAGAGGTTAACCATGGTTTTACATGCAAGTGGAGCTAGAGAGTGAGAAATGTGTCATGGAGCTTTGTTATTTTTCCCATTTCTTGTTCGCTTTAAAGCAACAGAGTTCTATGGATTAGGGGAACAGGGTGTTACTATTTGTCTACTGGAAGCATCAAAAGCTGTTAAATAATCAGGGGTACAGAGCAGGAACAACTATTGTTAGAGGGAGCCTAACCTTACTTACAGGACCCAAAGTGGCTTAAAGAACATCAAGTCATTGACATAGATTTGTTTGGAGTGTTTTTTATATTTCCTTTTGCAAAGAAAGCTTGGGTGAGAATGTAACCTGTTAAGCCACCAGTCAATATGTTGCATTGAACAATAACTGCTGTCTTTTACTGCTATTATGAAATGACCTTTTGCTGATTTAACTCTTTTTGAAGACACAATAATGACTTCAGAGTTGCCCCGTTCACCACTGATGGTAATAGCCTTGATGTTTCTCCAGCTAGAAGAAGTAATGAGATGGGAAAGGTCCAAGCCTGTGAGATTGAGCAATACAGCCAGAGAAAACAAAATACGGAGAGCAACAGAAGGCAAAAAAAAAGAAGACATGAGCCACTTCAACACTTTCTCCTTTGAGACATTGTCTAAGCCTGATGCTAATTCACCATCTGAGGGGGGATTATCTTAATGTGGGTGACCAGAATGTCTGATCACAAGAGGAGGCACAAAACCTGAATTAGGAACTACCATTTAACTGGTGACAAAAGAGTAGTTTGAGCTGATAGTAGTTTAAGCTATTAAACTGAAGATATTAACCTCTCAGGAGTGCTAAGCAGAGTTTGAAAGTGAATAAAAAAGGACAAAAGCAGCTGGACTTTTATTTGATTCTTGTTTGGGATACAGAAAAAAGTTCTACTTAATGTAGCCATTGTTTCCCTCCAACCCCATCCACCCCTACCAGGTCTCTAGCCACTTTCTGGAGAGCTGGGAAGGTGATATCATGGGAGGCAGCATCTCATCCATCCCTGGATCATGTGGGAGAAGCAGTTCTGAGCTCTGAACTCTCCCAGCATCTTTCGCTCTGCCGGATGATGAGTGAGCTTCACTTCCTTCTGATTTCAGCTTCTTGCTCTTCTTAAGAAGCCTGAAGGAGGGAAAAGAAATCAGACCACAGTCCCATGCTTTTTTTATTATTGTTATTTTACTTTCTTAAACAGGATACACTGGGGGTGGGAATGCACACTACATGTAGGCAAGCTGGAAAAAATAATTTTTGTTTACATGATTCATCAGTAAGTCCTGCCTTTATTTCCCCACCCTTCGTTTGTGAGGTGTTTGTGCCATGTTGCTCAGCAGCATTGCAGCACGTGGTTTCAGAATGACAGCGTACTGGGGAGAAGGAGCAAATGAGGCAAAGGACACAAAGGAGTGCAAGAGAAAGAGCAGAGCTAAAGGAAAGAAGACAAATCCATACATTAGCTGAGCTGTCTCTGACATATATCTTATTGCCGATCAGACCTTTTCTCTGTTTTTAGAAAGTTAAGCGCACAGCTCCAATAGCTTACAAAACTGGGATTTTCCTGTGTTGTTTCACTTGGTAGAAATTTCTCAAAGTTTGTTTTGCTTTCTTCAAGAACAGCTTTTCAAGGACACATTTCAATTTACTGAAACATTTCAAATCTGACGTGTATTTTTGTGCTAACTCAGAGACATTGCTTACCAATACATATAAACACAAGTGGTAGGGAGGGGAAGGAGCTTGGTTCATGCACTGTGCAGCACACAGAGAAGGCTTCCTGCTCATCCAAGAGACTTCGTGCTGGGTAAGTTCCTGCTTTTGACAACATTGTGAACATTTCTGGACACCCCAGACATTTAGGAAGCCAGAGCAGAGAAGGGGCAGTAGTGGAAGAAAAAGAACATCTAAAGCAGAGTCACCTGGTGACCCTAATAGACCACTCCAAAGGAGCTACAGCTTAGAGTAGCTTTCAGAGGCACCCTCATATCTGGGAAAAACTAGCCCATGGTCCCAGCTGGCTTGAAAAAGAGCAGGCACAGGCTGCCTCCTCAAATTCCTTATTCTGATATCTACAGTGGTTAGGACCCAGAATTTTCGAGATATTCTGGAAAGGTATAGCGTCAGTGACTTGCGTAGAAGATGTTGCAATAACGTAACACTTCCTTTTGCATGGCACTGAAACTGAGCTCCCAGAGCATGGACAGAAATCAGACAGAACAACGATAAAAAAAAAAAAAAAAATTATCCAAACGCCTTATCTTCTAACACTCAGCAAATATGGCCATGGGTGAGATGAAATACATAGCAATTTCGAAATTGGCCAAATCTGCAAAGCACTTTACAGAAATGCAAGCACCGTGTCCCTGACAAAGATTATGTTTCTATTCCTGGCATTAAAGCAAGTAGATCCATGTTTTTCACAGCCTAATGCACACCAATTATAACAGCTTACAAGAAAACTGGCCAAAACATGCTCTATTTACAAATCAGATGCATTTGAAAGATATCTTTTGCCCAGTGTGTTTTGATTGCAATGTCTGCTACTGAAAAGAGTCTTTGACAAACATTCTTGGGAAAGCCTACACTGAGGTAAGCAAGACAGCAGTTTTGGTGCTTAAAAAAACAGTTGTGTCATCCTGATAATGCAAGATGCTGAAGGAGCCTCCTGTAGGAACCCACACTTGTTGCAATGCTGAAATGGTCACCAGTTTTGTTTAGTGCTAATGATTTTCAAGGGAAATTGATTAAACTCAGAAAAATGTTTTATTGATTGCAAATATTTTTTTGAAAACCTAGAAAAAAAAGTGGACTACAGAGAAAATGACTCCTCAATGTAAATGTAAAAGTGAAATTGCAAGATCACTAGGACCCTCTGATTTTCTGAATTCATGAGCTTTTCAGCAACAAGCTAAGTTACACAAAGGCAATAATGTCTGCTACACCAAAGACAGTACATCGCATCAATCAGTGCAACCCTACAGCAGCTTAGGCTGCTTCTGGAACATTGCTCATATGGTACCAGCACATTGTGCTTACACTTCTGTGGTTTGCCAAGCTTCCTGCCTCTCCGTGCAATACTCAGTAAAGGGAGAACAAAGTAGTAGTGACAAAGAATAAAGTAGCATCAGCATTTGCAGGTATTGCAAAGTTGTTTTCCGCTGGAAAAAAAAAAAAAAGAATGTTTTCTATTGAAAATTTTATCGTTTCTTTTGTTCCACATTTTCAGATATCTGATAATATTTGGCAGTCTGGGTTAAACAGGGTGTCTACAACAGATACATGTTAGTTCACATCTGTGCTATACTCTGGGGCAACCTGGGTCTGGCCAACATACTCAAAGTGAACATGACCCATCCAAGGAGTAGCAGCTGGGACCCATGGGCAGATGCTCCTTTTCATTCCCATTTTCATACTTCTTGTGCATCTCCCATTCTGAAGAGATGGCAAACACTTTTATTCCCTGACTTTGATACATCTCACCCTCTGTTGGCCTTTCCTAGTTTTCATTGTTCAAAAGTATTTAGTCTCTTGATGACAAGATACCTGTCACATGTAAGTTTTACAGAGTTACGGTGTGTCCTTTTTTTCTTTGTCAGTTTTGTTGGCAGCTATAAGTAAAAACTGTATTCAACACACAGCCCTGTCCTGACTAAATTTATAGCATGAGCTTGCTATGTAAAATAACTTGATTGAAAAGTCAGTACTAGGAAAAAAAAAAAAAAGTATATGTAGAGACAAATATTTTATGATCTGGACTTGAAGAGAAGATAAAGCATGAGGATGATCCTTGAGTTACTGGGGAGAAAAAATGTCCTGACTAGATGATGATTAAAAGATAGCACTTTCTTTCTTACCAACAGAGCTGAAGTCTTCCTAGAATGTACAACAAATAATTATAACACATGCATAGGAAAAAAAAATGCATAAGCAACTTTAAGAAACAAATAATTTTGAATTATTTGTTTTGTGATCTTGATAAACTTACTCTTGATAATAGACTAGTCTGGACTAGACTAGACAAGAATAATTCATTTGGAAGGAACCTACAAAGACCACTGAGTCCAACTGCCTGACCCCATCAGGGCTAACCAGCAGTTAAAGCATTTTATTAAGGGCATTGTCCAAATGCCTCTTGAACACTGACAGGCATGGGGCATCAGTCGCCTCTCTAGGAATCCCATTCCAGGGTTTGACCACCCTCATGGGAAAGAAATCTTTCCTAATGCCCAGCTTGAGCCCCCCAGGACAGCTCTGTGCCGTTCCTGTTTGTCCTGTCACCAGTGCCCCAGGAGCAGAGACCGGCACCTCCCTCTGCGCTTCTCCTCCTCAGGACACTACACAGAGTACTGAGGTCACCTCTTGGCCTCCTTTCTCCAGGCTGGACAGTCCTGGTGTCCTCAGCCTCTCCTCACAGCACGTGCCTTCCAGCCCTTCTACCTGCTTTGCTGCCCTCCTCTGGAGTCATTCAAATATCTTAATATCCTTTTTAAATCATGAAGCTCAGAGCTGCACACAATACCTGAGAATGAAAGCAATGCCCAACTGGACCACACCACGTCCCACCTGGCTCAGCAGTCTGTCTCCAGCAGTGGCCATGGGAGATGCTATTTAGGGTCATCAGGTGAATTTGGCCACTATGTACAGTCCATTCCTCTCATACACTCTCACAAACATAATTCCTGGGGGTAGATTGGCAATTTCTCTACCCACCCTATCCATCTCTCACACCCATTTCTTCATCTCCCACTCCATGTAGATCCATCTCCTGTCATATTCTGTGTTGTTTCTTTCTTTCTACAAAAAAAAAAAAAAAAAAAAAAAAAAAAAAAAAAAAAAGAGTCTAATGCTAGTCTCTCTGTCTAAACAATCTCTCAAAAACATTTCTTTTTATTAGACTGTCTTTCCTACCCACTTCACTCACTTTTCTGTTATTTCTTCTTACTGCTTACCTAAGTATGAAACACTTGCTCCAAATCCAACCTTACACAGATTTAGTCTAATCAGGCAATGACCAATTTTATTCCTAGACTGTGGACTGATCCACAGACTTGTTCTATATGTTCAGCACCAACAGCCACAAAGCAATGGAGTATGTTCAGTAAAGCCAAAATCTTCAGAGCTGAACCTTAAAACCTTGCTGAACCTTAAAAGACTCTCCTGAATGCTGTATTGTGGAAATTTCCATTTCCTATAAGTGCAGGAGTTTGACATTTGTCATCATCTTTTCATAATTCTCAAATGTATTTAATTAACAAGCTGAGTTAATCAACACTATTTTATGATATCTAGGTTTCAATATTCCTAATTTTTCACAATGACCAAAACAGTGGGACTGGATTAAACAAATTAGACAAGGTAGCCAAACCTGATAGAAAAAGGAGATGGGAAAAGGTATATTTGAACTGGCAAAGAATTGAGGAAATGGCTGGAGAAATGTCATGTGTGCATAACTTTCTCAGATAAGTATATTAAAACACAGAAGAGAAATAATCAATAATAGTTGGAAACCAAAAATCATTCTAAAGAAGTTACTGAGAGAGACATCATAGTAAATAATAATAATAATATAAAGTCACAAATGAACATACAAAGGACAAAAAAAAATTATATTAAGATAATAGAAAAGGGGAGATAACTGAGGCAAGGCGCAGAAAATGGGACAGAAGGAAAGTAATGGCTGTGAAAGGAACATAAATTATTCTGGAGTGTGTTTCAAAGTATTTTTGTAAAGTACACAGGCTGTAACTTTCTGAGAAGCCACCAAATGGCATACCTGAAGAGGAAATGAAGCATGTGCCCTTGTGGTTAGCTGACCCAATTAGCAATGGTAGTTGGCCCAATTTAGAAAACAGGAGCTATGCTTTTATGTATCACTGTCCTAAATACAATTGACGTTATACCCGTTTCAATGATATAGCTCTGCCTTCTTTGATGCTTGACTGTGCTTTCTATCGAAGATGGCTCAATGGGACACTTTTCTTCTACATAGTACTAAGTAGAAACCAGTATTTTTGCATAAGTGCTTTCTTCACACAGTCTTTGCTAGAAATAACAGATGGTGCTTTCATGACGTGGAACACTTTTTGAGGTCTTGTCTTACAGATCAGACCGTGGTACATTGTTCA